CTATTAGATACACCAGGGCTATATTGGTTTCTTCATTCAAGCTTCTTTTCTCGGTGCATGGCCTGAAGCAGATTATGTACTAGCAAAGCCAGAATCTTGTTCATAGGATCCATTGCGCCTCTCTGGAACCACTTCGGTATCGTTGTCCTTGCATGCTTGAATCCTAACTTATTTAATATATAGTCAGCTCCCAAAGCCTCGATTTCTTTTCCACCAAGTGACAGTAGCCTATTGGAGTAAGAAGAAATATTTATCAATGTACTGTATTCATTCGTGTCTAAATGCATGGCCCATCCCATTACTTTGAAGTGGTTTTTCAGAAATTGGCAAATGTTACATTAGCCAGAAATATTTACAAAACAAGTTCTCGTAATCTCGAAAGCTCTGATGAGATTCTAGTGGTCTTAACAACCACCCATACAAAGAAGATCTATCAATCAATCAATCAATCAGCCAGCCGAGTGATTCTAGTTGCCTTAACGGCCACCCATACAACAAAGATCTATCAATTATTCAGCAGGGTCTCCTAGAGCTCCTCATCGGAGCTAAAAAGTTGCACTTACCTAACTGTAGGTTCAAGTTGCCATGTTGTGCACTGAAACACTCGCCAGTCTTCTTCACCACGGGATGGAGTCATGTCTGCTAATTTCTTGTCTGGGGCTAAAGGCGTAGTATTTGAAAGATCTAGAATAGAAATACAATATACAATAAAAAGAAAAACAAAGACATTAGTTTAAAAGTAAAGAACTGAAGTTTAAAATATTCAGTTAGAAAACCTTATTGCTCCAATCGAGCACTAGACCAATTCACTACCACTCAGTTGCTTCTGATTAGACTAAAGGTAGTTTGTGCTGAAGCCCCTAGTTCAATGATGACATAGCAAAACAACGCAACTTGACATTTTTTTTGCATGTTTCGAAGTTTGCAAAAATTGTCGTACCCTATTATTATAATCGCAGTGTCTATAGACACTGTGATTATATGTGTAATTTTAATTACAACCGTTTGTTTATTACAAAGTCATAAGTGACAATTACAGATACGTTTGCCTTTGCCTGGAAAACATGTTAGGCTCGGTATTGTTGCAAGTAAGACATATTTTTGGAATTTATCACATTTTCGGCAACCACATGCATTACCTAGCTTGTTCATACGTCACTGTTAAGATTATTGATATAGAAATACCAATAACCATTTGATTTTGCCTTTTGCCAAACTCCATCAGCACAAGACAATTTTTGAATACCATTTCAAGGCAAAACAACGTACTGTATCTTCATCGTAGATATGATGTTTTGCCTTTTAGTTATGTTGTTTTGCCACCAAAAACCACTAGATTTTATGTCTTGTGCTTAAAGATATGTGGTGCTATCTCCGAAACGAATCATTATTGAGACCTGAAATTTTCACAGGTAATTAAGACGTGTTTACTCCCAAATGATATTATCTAAAAATTGACAAAAATGTCAGTAACGTTACGGTACGTTGTTTTTCCTCGGTACAGCCGAACTAAGCTCCATGAATAAAGGAATGTTGAGGAATACATTAAATTTAAATAAGGATTATTTATCATTTCATTAATCTGAAATTCAGTATGTTAATATGTTAACATTTAGAACAGGGGTGGGCATAAAAATCGGTCGGAGGGCTACAGTGAATTTTTTATTTTACACCGAGGGCCGCACCCAAACTTTAAGATGTTTCCAGTGTGCTTCTTAAACCTTCTTGCACTGCTTTTATTACACTTTATTCTCAGCAGAAAACTGCCTTTCAAGAGGTATCGCTGGATGGGAAAAAAAACCAAAAAATATTTATATTAATACCTTTATCTTTTTTGTCGATGTAGCTTGAGACAAGATCGTGTAAAAATATAACCAGTTCTATGTCCATTGCCATGTGTATGTGATCGTCAAATTGAGTTATAAAAGTTACATCCACGGTTGGCTTCACATCTGGATTGAAAAGAAAAAAGAAAAAAAAAACACCATTCAAAAACATTTAAGTCATTTGACAAACGAATATTACAAACGAACAAGTAAAAGGTCTGAAACACTGACAAATTTTTAAAATATTTTAAGTAGATTAAAAATGGCTTCAAACCTTTAAATGGTGAAGTTTGTGGCAATATTGGAGTAATAATACTGTTACAAAACCGACATGGATAATAATAATTATAATTTATTCATTAATATGGCGCAAGTTCCATTAGAATATGTTCAAATGTGCATTACAATAAAATAGAAAAGAATATTACAAATTAACAGTATAAAAAAGGAAGATCAAAATTCAGGGAAGCTAAAATTACCAATTCATATCAACCAAATATTGGGGTAATATTGCCGTAATATATTACGTCTTTCTGTATGAATGGATCATGTATGCTCAGAGAGCCATCGGCCAATCTTTTTAGTCATCATCATAAACTGAGGGTGTACTTTATTGTTTATTTTTTTGTAGGAGTAATATTACAGGAATGCGATTTGCTTAATTTTTTTGTGCTTGTTTCGGACACACTCCAGAGCGCACCCTGACGGGAAATACTGCGGCGATAGCTAGGTCTGAAAATGGAATGCTACAGAATCCTTATATCACGGTTGCAGTTATTCCTCACCTCTGTCTGAAAGTTATTATTTATTTCTTCTTTAACCTGGGTGGCCTGTTCAGTGTTGAACACTGCTCTCCCACAGGGCCCAGGATCAACAATACAACTCTTAACTACCAACTTTTAACAATTTAAAATAGCCTATAAAAATTAAAAAAAAAATTTAGATCTGCCAATCTTTCTTTTGTACTTTATTTGGTGATCGGCAGATAAAGAAGTAGCTGACAGTAGAAAGTCTAGAGATATGTTAGACTACTACCCCAACAAGGAACCCTTAATCTGTGACATAAGCCTAAGCATTTTATTTATTAAAAAAAAATCACAAAATAATAAAAGTATACAAATACCTTGACCATTCTCTTGCACTTTCATCGACTCTACATCAAAATGAATGGTTGGCTCACGCAGAGCAAACAATGCCCACGATTTAGCTCTAAAATTGATCCCACCGAAGCATGCTAGGAGAACACTATTCCCAGATAACTTGACCTGACCTCCAAGAACAGTTCCTAGCTCTGGCACGACTGTTTCACCAAACACCCAATTAGAACACTCCGAGAGGAAGTTAGAAACAGGCTGCCAGTGACGATGATGATTTCTGATCACTAAAAATGCAGATAAATAAAAAGTAAGTATTACTGTATATGTTCATTAATAGGTAATGCATGACAAAAACAGGATTTTCATAAAGGGCAGTGATGGTTAAGACACTTTTCTTAAAGGGAGCTGGCAGTAAGTGCTGCCTTTGAAGAAGTTGCTAAAAATTAAGATGATTTCCTTTAAGGTAGCTGAGATGCTTGCCTTAAAAAAATTTAGATGCTAATTGCCTGTTTAAAGGAATTCAGTTAAGATGTGAATTGCCTGTTGAAAAGAACTTGGTGATTAGATGCTTGTGTGAGCGTGTTAGCTTTTAAAATGCTTACATTTGAGGGAGTTGGTGGCTAAGATGCTTGCCGTAAAGGGGGTTGGTGGTAAAGATGTTTTCCTGTATAAGTTGGCGGCAGTAAAGATACTTGCCTTTAGGAGAGTTAAGTATTAGGATGCTTGCCTTTGAAAAAATGGTAGTTAAGAATAAGATTCAAGAAACTTTATATTTATTTATTTATTTTTTTTTTTTTCGCAAAGTAAAATTGAATAATGTAATAATATATTTTAAGACATAAAAAAACATTAAAAAAAATATATAAAAATGGTTGCTTCAAAAAAAGTTTTAGGGCATTAGTAAAGGTACAAAGTAAATTTGTGTTAAGATATCGGCCTTCAAAGAGTAGGAAGTTAAGATGCTTGTCTCAAATGGGATTACCTGAAAAGAGACTTGCCTTAAGTAAAGTTGGAAGTGAAGAGGCCTGCTTCCAAAGGGTTTTGGCTAAGATGATGGCCTCAGAGAACTTTGGCAGAGAAGATGCTCATCTCCAAGGGAGTTGGCTATTGAGATGCTTGCCTTCAAGAAGTATGGCAGAAAAAATGCTTGCCTAAAAGGACCTCCAAGGGAGTTAGCTGTTAAACTTGCCATCAAGAAAGTTGGCAGAGAAGATGCCCACCTCCAAGTGAGTGGGTGTTGAGATGCTTGCCTTCAAGATGATTGGCAGAAAAGATGCTTGCCTTCAAGGAAGTTAACAGTGAAGATGCTGTCCTCCAAGAGATTTGGTTACTAAGTTGCCTTAAAGGGAGTTGGTAATGAAGATGATTTCCTTAGAGGGTGTTGTCAGTGAAGATTCATGCCTTCAAAAGTGTTGGCAGATAAGATGCTTGCACTTGAGGGCTATTGCTAATAACAAATCTGTCATTTTAAGTGAGTTTGTGGTTAAGATGTTAGCCTTAAATGGGAGATGGCAGTGAAGATGCTTGCCTTCAAAAAAAGTTGATTTTATTAGGTGCTTGCCTTTGAGGACGTGGAGTTAGTTAAATTGCCTAAAATGGGATTAGCATTAAAAATTACACAAATCAATCGTGATGTTGGTAGTCTATGAGTGAGATACTTACACGAGCGACACAAAGGGCACTCTGAGTGCCGGTCGAGCTTAACACTCGGTTTAGGGCCCCCACACGCCGAGCACAAAGACTTGCGAGCGGACATGTCGATCGAGACTACAATAAACAAAGGATATCTTGCAAGTTGAAAATAAATCCAAAAAATAAGATAGCTTGAAAAGACTGCAAGTAATTTCAAAGGCTGGGTGTATCCAACTTCGAACAACGTCGAAAAGGGAATGAGGACGTTTGTTAGGGAGACGGTTCGCACGTGGCGCCTTGGGTCGGACTGTTCCATTATTTTCGAAGGGGTGTTCCGTTTTGGGAACAATGGCAATTAGTCGGTTATCCAGGTAAGTATTCACGAAATAGACTATTGCATTTAAGGAAGTGTGCAATCAGCATACTTGCCTTCATTGGAGTCATCAATTAAGATGGTTGACAAAGATGGGTTTGATCCTAACAAAAAATACAGAATTTTTCTCACTAACTATAAACAACTCATTGTTTAAGGACCTAGTAAAAGAAGATTGAGGTTCTCAATTGACCGGTTTTACTGAACATACAGATACAGTAGTTTGCAATACTTGCCTTGAGGAGTGAGAGGTGGTTTTTGGGTTGTTATTATAGGTTTTGTCAGGATCTGACTCCCAAAACTTGCAAGTGCCATCTTGCTGCTGTGAAACTGTTGACTTATAAATTCGGTCAGTTTGTTGATTATCTTGATGAGGTCAGGGGTCGTTGAACGTGTGATCATCATCTGGACTGTGTCCCATTTCAAATCAATGTGAACAAATATTGACGCAGGCCTTAAGAAAAGAGAGCCAAAGTAAATAAATATATCTTTTCAATTATTCTACTTGTAATTAATTTTAATTATAAAATATTGGTCAATACAGTTAAAGACGATTAATAAAAGTATATAGTTCATACAATATATTTCAAAGATCTCAACAGAAACAAATCTGAAGAGATATTATCAGATGTTAATATTTAGTATATTTTCCTGTATGTTAATTGGGTATAAACAAATAACAGGCTGTGTGTAGGTTTCACCAGTTTTTAATTGGTTTGGAATATTAGTTAATTGAATTGAAAACTTCATTGTCGATTATAAAATACAGTATCATAAAAAATAATATATTATAAAAACTAAAAATTAAACCAGAAATTGCTGCGAAAGGTCAAGTGACAAGTGATGCACTTACAAAACAGGACATTATTTTGCAGGAAGCAGGTTTTCCATAATTTTAGCTCGTATTGATACCCTGAAAGACTGTAATTTACCTTGTAGTAATACTACTTTGAGCTGGTTCTGTAAGGTTCAACCGCCACTCGTCCTTCAACTCAAGGCCTACTTCAGTTAGCTGACAAAGCAGTGTACTGCCGCCCATGTAATCCACGCTCACACTCAAGTCATCCAGTTTTGCAGACACTGTGTGACTGGGTTCTTTCCCAGGTTGCTCCATGATATGGCCTATGTCAAAAAGATAACATCCCATTACAGATTCACCAATCCCATTACAGATTCACCAATCACCACAGTTAAGATTCATCAATGTATATCATCAGTTGGGATTCATCAACCACCATCATCAGTTGAAGTTGAGGATTCTGGAATTCAAAATAGAATGGGCCTGGGAAGGGAACTTTAGGGATGGAGGGTCCATACTACATCAGGCACACCATGGTTTAGGCTGAGGCAGAAAATGTTATATCTATGGCAGCTCAAGATGACCAAAAATGAAACTTTCACACATTAATTTGAATGCATTTTTTCCCCATTTATTATTTTTTTTTTCTTCAAATATTTAAGGAGAGAGTGGGGGCTTGCTTGACTGGACAACCCCACCCCAATCTTTTTGAATTTGGCTCTGCTTGATTCATCAATCACCATCTTTGGTTAGAGTCTCCAATCACCATTATCAGTTATTATGCATAAATTATAAAACAGGGATGTATTACCTTTACATAAGTTGTTAGGAGTATGTGTTTACACATGTATTACTAACGCCAGTGTGTGAATGTATGACAACATGAGGATGCCGTTATTATACCTGTGCTATGGAATTTAGTCATTTCCAACCTTCCACCTATGACCCCTCCATGTGAATCTATGCTAGACTGCTCAAGATCTAACACCAGTCGTACATCTTTACATCCAGTGTTGTCTAGTGATATCCAAACCTGCTTCTGAAGTCCTTGCACTAGCCACCTACAAACAGTGAACATTTAAATCATGTATTTCTATACCAGACTAATGCCTTATTAGTTGCAAAGAAGAGTGACAGTGTTAAATTAGTTTATTAGTTTGAGAGGGTAATAACAGGGATGAGGGAGCGTATGAAAACAGTAACGAACGTTAAAAACAACACAAAAGGAGGCAGAGACCCCAACATTCCGATCATAAGAGCAGAGGACGCACCTCGTCATTGGACTAAACCCGCGATGACGTAATGACAGTAATGACACATCAGTTAATTGATGAAGTTCGCCGAGACTGACGAAACATCTTGAGTGACCGTATTTAAGTTTGGTTAAACAAAAATGAAATAAATATAACTAATAAATGTCTGTTTCCTAACAAAGTTGTCTGGTTTTAAATAAATTCAGCTGGTTCTAAAGTTATATTAAAAAAAAAATATTATAACAATATCACCGACCCTATACAGAGTCAAGAGACAAGTAAAGTTGTCTGGCTTTCAAAACTTACACAGACGTGCCCATCACGTTACTCATATTCATATTCACTTGTAGCTTGGATAGGTTGATGCCAATCACCACTCGGGTATCCCATACCAACTGTTTACTCTCCTTCTCCTTGCTGGTGAGGGGTGTAGACGTCGGCCTCTGCTGGTCTCTGTGTGCAACCAACTCAGCTGGAGTTCCATCTACGCAGAAAATCTTAGATCATTAATAAGGATTAAAGTAGAAACAATAATTTCACAGGTTTAGTTGATTGCCGTATTTAGTACATTCTTACAATAAATTATAGCTTAATGTATATTGAGCATAGCGACAATCATAGAGTAGAGAGAACAGAATGTTTACGTTATAAGATCATCTTGATAATAAATAATAAATAAATTTTATGTAATAAAAAATTTAATACTGTCAGCTAACATAATCAGGTTCGAGTGGTTAACGTCAGTTTAAAACTGCAGTTGTCTCTCTGTAATATGCATAACCTGTAGTAAGTAAATCTATGCTAAACAATAGAAGTTATTTCAGTATTATTTAACATTAAAATATATTTAAATCACTTTCCGTCAAAGTGACACAATTCAAGCCAATTAGAACAATTGAATTTAAGCAATGGAAGAATGTGGGATCACCCTAAAATATCCTAATCAATATTCAAACATGAATGACTTGATGTTGTTTTCTAGATATTTTATTTAAAATAAAAACATATTTTTAAATATAAAGGATATAAGTCTTTTGACTAGATTCACTATGTTAAAAATTATATTAGCTTCATTCAGACTGAATTGGCATTTTGGAATATTATATTTTCAATTCATTCCTACAGTTAAATAACAAAAAAACAAAGAGAATTCCCATCGTAAACATAAAAGGCATTGATAATTATATTCGGTTTAAAACTGATTAATATCTATATATATAAAAAAATGTTTTATGTGTTATCTTTTACTAATGCTGTTTTAAATGTAAAGATTTTTTTTTTTTTAATGTTAGCGACCTTTTTCACTTTTACATCCATAATAAAACAGAAAACTGCTAACGCTTTGTTTTTTAAGTAAATAAAAAATTTGTCTGTTATATTAGACATAGTGTTTGCTTTCATCAAGTCTGCAAGTTGCTAAAGCGAAGTTTTACTTTTATAGCAAAGTGTTATTATTTTAGTACTGCTAATTGCTATGTAACTTATTAAACTGCATTATCTACTTTAATGAACTGAAAATAATTTTTATCAGATAAAAGCATAAAAAATAGTAAAAAATAACAGTGACATTAAAGTGAATGGAATGGTAAAACATGCTTAGCATATGGCTTAAGTGGTTTACCTGATTGCCTGTGCAAAAAGGCTTGTCTCAACGGAGAACCTCGGCCTAGCTGAGAGTACAGGTTGAAAACGCCTGGGGAAGAGGGGTTGAATGGACCTGCTGTCCTCCATGACGGAGGCCTTAGTGGGAATGTACCCTGTCGGTTTCCACCAACTAAATTTTCTAGACTACCCCCAAGCTTAGGTGATGATGAATCTGATGAGCCTGCAGAGCGATATAAAAGAGTGATATAAAAAATAAAAATAACTAAATATTAGATAAATAACTAAAAGAAAATATAAGTTATATAAATCATTAGTAATGCTGGTAGCATATGAGTGAGATTCCTGAAATCAACAATTGTCACTTTTTCCTTACCAGGTTACCACAAAAATAATCTTAAAATTTTCAAGCTCTCTGTATTAAAATTCCCTAAACCGTGTTTACTCCTATACTTAAGAAACAAATAATGTAGTGGCATTAATCGTATAAGCAGGCTATGCATTGTGATCTGTACTGGGCCAAATCAGAGTTTCAGCATTACATGATGTATAGGAATGGTCATTTCTTGTATTTTTTTGGCAAGTTCTGGTAAGGGAACATTGATATATAAGTATTTACAAATTGCACTAAACAAAATAAACAAAATGAAAAACAAAAACAATTAAATTGAAAGAACTGATATGATGTTAGTGAATGATAACATTTAAAAGTAAATTTCCTAAGGAACAAAAATTATTCGCAGTAATAATGCTAGCAAGAATGTAGTCAGTCATAACTTTGCATAGAAAAATAAATATTTTCTTTTCCTAATATTAATTTCAAATTAACATAAAAAGCAAGTAACACAAAACAAAACCATCTATACTTTCTATTGCATTATATTTTTGTACAAGTAAGTAAACAGGAACGAAAGTTCTCTTGGTAAATTGATTTTCAAACAAGATAGCGAGAGCTCTCTTTACTGTACTGCAATTTCAACAAGAAAAGCAAGATGAGCACTTAAAAAGGTAGTTTTCATTAATGTTTTTAATAATTGCCCAATGTTTTACAAAAGGGAAAAATTGTCCAGCTAAAAACTTTTCTTTTTTCGTCATATTGTTAGTCTGCTCAACATACATTTTGAAATTGTGGGCTACCAAATGATACAAAAAGAAACAGAATTTTATATTTTGTCTGAAAATATGTATATTCACTTTACCACATTCAGATGGTTGTTTTGTTGGTAGCTGGGTTGTGCTTTCCTTTCCGAAGAACAGCTGGTGTGCAATCGATTTTCGATACCAAGCTTTTGGGAATGCCAACACTTCAGTCAATCTCCGGATGTCATAGTTCAAGGACGCTGACCCAACATCGCACAAAACTGAAAGAAAAAAAAAATTATTGTTAAATATACAAAATCACAGAGGGAGGGTCTTCATGTATACAATGAATAAAAATAAATCTTATCTAGCATCTCAACCATTTACTATCTAAATCCAATTATACACTATCAGATCTTTGTCAGATTCAAAAAATGTTGGATCAGACCTATCTGATCGTGGAGTACTTGTTTACTTCACTGCTGAACCGTGATTGCTTCTTTCTGACATATTTTATCAAAAAAATTTCTTTTCTTGTCTGACAATGTTTAACTTTATCAGAGGTGGAGCTGAATATCTTAGTGGTTAAGATACGTAATACCATGGTCCTGGGTTCAATTCCTGTCAATGACTGACGATTTTTCTGACAACCGAAAACAACTCCACTCAGAAAGACTTTACAAAACATCATACAGTGCAGCCGTTCTGTGGCAAAACAACGTAACTTGATATTTTTACTTTTCGAGTACAACAGAGTTAAAGTTTGCATGTTTGCAACTTGGAAATGAATTGTCGTAATCTTCTGAAATTTTGCATGACCTTATATCTACAGACATTATAATTATATGTAAAATGTTAATTACAAATGTTGGTTTATTGCAAAGTTAATAAAAATATTTACAGATACGTTGTTTTACCTCGGAAACATGTCAGGCACGCTATTGTCACAAGTGCGACATTTTCTAAAATTTATCACATCTGGGGCAATCATAAGCATTACCTATGATTAGTGATATGAAAACCCTATCAACAAGTTGATTTTGCTGTGCCCAATTCCATTAGCTCAAAAGAACGCATCTTCATCGTAGATACGTTGTTTTGCTGCGTAATCTGGCAGTTACATTGTTTTACCACAGAAAATCACTAGATTTTAAGTTTTGTGCTTGAAGATAAGGGGCGGATCCAGAGATACCCAAAAGGGGGGCCGAAAGGGGGGCCAAAAGTTGGGCCGATCGAGACAACACTGTCCTAGGGGGTCCGGGGGCACGCCCAAGCAAAATATTTGTGTTCTGACAGCCGAAAATAACATATTTTGAGGCGTTCTGGGCTATCATTTTTTTCTTTTTCTTTCTTTTTTCTTTTTTTTTTCTCCTTTTCTTTTACCTCCCCCTAAATCCGCCCCTGAAGATAGGTGCTATCTCCAAAACCACTCATTGTTGAGACCAGAGATTTTCACAGGCAATTCAGTGGTGTATAATATACTCTTAAATGAAATTCAACAAAAAATGAGATACATTCTTTTGCCTCAGGACGGCCCAGTATGTGTGCATGTTTGTTTTGTTTAAGGGTTTGCTCTCAGACAGTGATTAAGTTTGTTATTAGCAATCATTGGCCTGTGTGCCTAAATAATGAATAACATAAATCAATAAATCGATCAATCAAAATCTGATAAAATCTGATAATGCATGCCCAGCTTATTATAAATGATGCAATAAGTGACTCAATGTTTCTGTACGGTTCTCATTCAAAAAAGGCTCTTATTGATATCCTGGGTGTAAGCTTTCCAAGTTTTAATAGTTGTTATTGACCTGACAAAGAATTATCCACCTGGAATAAAAAATGATGGATAGTTTTAAACTAATTTTGAAATAATAATGTACTGTGGTTAGGAAAGAAAGAGAAGTAAATAAAAAAATATAACTATATTAAACTAAATTATATTAATCCATTAATCAATTTATCAACCAATCAGTTAATAATTATTAAGTAATCAATCATTAACATACTTGAGAATTTAATTGAACTTGGTGAACCACTTGATGATGAAGTACGGCTTAGATGAGAGGGGGCAGGGGAAGTACTTCGCTGAGGTTCCGTAACAAGCCCTGGCGAAGAATGATCTGTCACATCGGGTGTTGGTGATACGTAAGCCCGGCGTTTTCGAGAGAGATTCACGCGCACAAACTCAACTTTGACAGACAGAGAATCTCGTCTGTTAGCTGCCTCGAAATGTCTCTCTGGTATTCCAGCTATTAATAAATGCAAAAATACAGATTACTTCTTACGATTTATATATTTTGGTGCATGTCATAGAAAAGTAATCAGTCTTGAGTGTATCAGAGGTCTTTCACTAACACAGCATATTACAGGCAAATATTTCACAAAGTTAAAATCATTATCTTATAGACTATGTTCAATAACACCATGAGCATATAATTACAACCTTAGATATAATCGAAAGTCTTGTTTAACAATTACAGTACAGCGAACAAATTCATCTGGTGCATGATATAGAAAGGTAATCAGTCTCGAGGTTTATAAGAGGTTTTTCACAAATACAGCATTACATGCAAATATTTCAAAAAAGTTAAATTCTGCATGAAGGCTTCTTTAAAACAGTGTTTATTTGATGGCAATTGGTTGAGTATTACCAAAGTTACGAATAGTTATTTCATTGGATGTCAGCCATGTAGGTTATGAGGAGAAAACAGCTTCCAAATATTCCAAAATCAATAGTTTATTATTAAGATTTTTATTTTAAAAATAACTTTAATATACTTTTCAGTTAGATTTAGTGATTGATATTTTACTGAAATGTTCTTCAACATATCTTCTTTCATAAAATGCAAAAACATGAAAATGTTCAAAATTCTGATTCTCAAAATGTTTTGGGTGCTTGTGAGAACTTAGAAATTGCGACACACATGCAGGGTTTTGCCACAGGCAGCATCTATTACCATTCATCTATTATATATAATAGATGAATGAATAGATGAATAAATTCGGGAATGATTTATTTTAATTATTTAAATTAATAAATGAATAATAACCGAAAAAAGTTAAAAATCTAGTTGAGGCTGCAATTCAATGCCAATTTTTTTTTTTTTATTAATACAGTAGAATCTTTCTTAGAAAGAAAAAAGAAAATAAACATAAGTTATATATTTAAATAAGTAAGTATTTTTACAAAGAAAATGAAGCAAACTTAGAAACAATTTTTTTACCCAATGCTGAGTCGACTCTTTGATTGCCACCGTATGGATGAAAGACGAACAAGGAGAAGTCCGACAGGCAGGCAGACACATTCAAACCACCCTTAATCAGTTCTGATTGTTGGCTTGTGCGAGGGCTGGAGCTCAAAACATCTGGGCCTAGGAACACAAGAAAACGTAACAAGATTTTGGCTTTCAATGTTAGGTCACATCTCTGCTGAATAATGACAAACAGCCAAGTATATATTCAAAGAGTTAACATCATATATTGGATTTCAAGTGTATGTCTGATCTCTGCTGAATAATGACGAACAAACAAGTATAGTTAATATCAATACATAGCATGTTTCTGCTCAATAAAATAAAACCCAAGTTACCAGAAAATACCTGGCTTAAATTAGTTTATTTAATTCTCACCTGTGAATTTCCCATCACCATCTTTATTAACTGATGCCACTTGACGAGACGAGGAGAAAGCCAACTCAACTGAGGGTAATTGAAGCAGGCACTGGACACGAGATATCGGCAAACAACTGAATCGAATTGTGGAAGGCTTAATGCAAAGATACACAACAACCTCAACAGGGAAGGTACTGTATCCAGAAGTAGATGAGGATACCAAAGATGTATTTGATGGGTCCAACTCTATACCACTGCTAAAGCTTTCATCTAAAAACAACAGACACAACACAATTATACTATTGTTTCAAATATTCGGTTTAATACTGTAACAAAGCAAATCAACATAAAAATACAATCTCTCTATTAAGAATGTGAAATTATGTTTGGTTATAAATTAATACAAGTAAATAAGATTATGAACTCAAAATACAGTAAATGTATGAACAAACATCTTTCTCTCATAAGTGCCATTCTCAAATAAACATCCCTTCAAACCTGGTATTTTTGAATAAGCAATGCTGTGAATGTTACAGCTATATTCCCATTTTTTAAATAAAGTAAGTATGACAGCGTTTTAAGGTGAGTGAATATCTATCTCCTTAACATTTTATATTATTGAGACAACCGTTTGCACACCAAACCCAACATTGTACAATTTCGAGTAAATTACTGTCAAAATTGCCTATTTAAACACACTTTTTAAACATGTTTTAAAGCTAATGTTGACGGTTTCATAAAAACACACTAAAGTACACTTATACATCAATCTTTAAATTTACTTCTGGCACAGTAGTGAGAGATAGAAGAAATAGATTTTAAAACTATCACAATCAGGCCTTTCATAATTATAGTTATTTTCATCATCATCAATCATCATATTAAACAGCACCACAACGGCTCTTATCACCACCTAATGCATTATAATACATGGGTCTTGCCATCTTCCTTTCACTTGTTTATTCAAATTAAATAATTGATTCCTTGCATTGACCATATATTGTAAAGAAAATTCTGTTTTAATTGTATTCTTCAAAAAGGAAGTAAATAAATAATGTTGAATTGATTAATTAATTTGAATAAAGATACAAACCTATCGAGGTAGCAGGTTTTGGTGATTGTTGATAAACTTCTTCTAAAGTCTTTTCAATAAAATCCAACAAAATTGGACTGATAACAATCTCCTGAAATGTAACACAAATATAGATATTAAGGTCAAGCAGCATTTAGTTAAAAAAATAAAAAGAAATGCATGATTCTTATAGATTTTGACTAATAAATTACATGGAAAAAAAATTAGAATTCTTATTACATTATATAGATATATCTATATTAAGTCCTTTATTCAAACACTGTATTTACCTTTCTTTGATGATTTATATATGATTTAACAGTGTTAAAGGCTTCTTTGATATATATATATATATATATATATATATATATATATATGGCTAATTTTTAATAGGCTTAGTAGAATACTCGAGTAAATTCCTAGGCCAAATGAAGAATACAATAGGCACAACAGATATGTACGGATGGATTTATTTGGTATAAACCCACGAAAGTCTGAAGAAGACTTATTTCAAGTGGGGTCCTTCTGGTGGTGACAGGGCAGCACACATGGAGACAATCCCCTAATCATTTCCGAAGAGTGTACTGCATTCTGTAACGTGCACATGGGCCATAATGCACACAGGACCAATGGCTTTAACGTCTTTATCTCAAAGACGCCGCGCTATAGTAACTTGCATTTCAGCCCTCACGCTTTAATACAAGGAGAGGCAGCGATGGGAATTGCACCAGTGACCAAAAGGTGTCCACACACACAGTGGCTACCACCAGTTTAGCCGACTGAGCTAGGCTGCTCTCGCATGTAGGTAGTAGGCAGTGTCTATGACAACTTATCAAGGTGGAATATAGATAAACAAACCTTCGGAGCTGCTTGGAATACTATCTTGCAGTATAGGCTTGCTTTCTTTTGAGGCTTTTTGTCACTTCCATCTTCTCCATTTTCAGCTTCCATTTGGGAATTATAGCTCACCTAGTGAAGAAAATCATGATGTGGCAACCAGTGGCGGCTCTAGTATATATATTCTGGGAGGGGGGACTAAGTTGTTTGACAGGGGGACTTGAGCTCGTAGGCTCAAGCTAATGGGAAGGAGTTGAGAGGGGATTTCCTCCCAAATGAGATTTTTTTTAAGAATAGCAACCTCTGGATAGCAACCTCTGATGTGACAGACATGTGTTGGCTTGGTGTGGGCCTATTTTTATATGTTTTATGGTCTGACTGCCCGACGAGCTCTGTCTGGCGGGGGCTTGACCTGTCTGGTGGGGGGACTTAAGCCCCCTGTCCCCCGCTGGCGCCGCCACTGGTGGCAACAGAAGGTAATCAACAATGTACAAACACATGAAAGAAATTGCTTCATAGACTAACCTATGTTAAAAAGTGATTTCAATAGTTTTTCTTGACCTTTTTTTTTTTACCATTATTTGTAATTTCTATAAATGTTTTAGAGTCTTTAGGCTTTTTATTTTGTTTTTATTGAATTTTTATGTAATTTATATATTTATCTCTTTTTTTCATAAGAGCCTAAATACTTACAAACTTTGCTTCTTTTTAGACTCCCTCACTTGATAACTTTTTGTCTTACTTGCCTTTGTACTTTATGAATTGTTTATTTGTATGTTATTTATCAAGTGGAAAAAATAAAGAAAGAAAGACATCCGCTATGTGCAAATACACAGGTCATGTGTAGGTGATTCCATTATTTTCTTTCATGCTCGAGGGTAAATTCAAGGGGGATAAAGTTGAATTTCCATAACCTTGATTTTGTCCTTTCCTTCCCAAAATATAATCATCTCTTTCTTTGAATATTATGTACTATTCAACTAAACTTTATGATGATCCATTCATTAGTGTTTGTGTAATCTTGCCAACAGAAAGACTGACAGGGAGACAACGGTGAATACATAACCTTCTTTGGCGGAGATATAAATTATTCCAAAAACAATTGCTGAAGCTACAAAGGCAACTTGCATTGCTATCCCAGACATCTAATCAAACTTGATTACCAGTTTATCAAATTTACTGCCTATATATGGTCATGATGTGATGTCATCATGACCATATTTAGGCATGTTACAGGTTTTTGTCACAGAAAATGTCATAGTTTGACAGGGCTTTGGAATCAAAAGGTGGATTTGATCAGAATTCATATTACCTTTGCATCAATGCCTGGAACAAACAGCATAGTGCTAATGTCCTGCTGGGTCCGGTTCAAGGAGCGATGCCGTTGTGATAGGCCTGGTACCGACATGTAACTGGAGAGGCCAGGCCGCTCAGAACCAAGAGTCTGAAGAGGTAGAGAGGCTTTCCTAGCAGCACTAAAACTAAAGGAGATTCATAAGTACAGTAAAATGTCCATTCTATATACACCTTGGTACCAAGGGGTGTTCGTAAATTGAAAAATCCGTAAACTATATCGGGTGTCAGTTTTCAATACCTAGTCCTAGCTATCCCCTGCCATTGAGCGCCAATAAGCTGATGGCGGCCAGGCCTAGCACGAACCGACAGTGCAGCAGCGTGGTCTGCCGTGCTGGAGACTAGCTGAATTTACCTTAGATAAAAACCAAATTATTTTAATCGCTGGCATTCTTCCATAACCAAATATTACTTTAACTCTTATTCATCCATGTGTATGTTTTATGGCCCTTTCTATAATGTTCTTTCTAGTTTTTAGGTCGCCGAATTGTGTTGTTTACATGCATTTCGCGATCATATCTAGCATTCATTATGTCAAAAAGTTGCTGACCCTAACACTCTCGTTCGTCATCGTAAGTATGTGCACCCAATCCGACGACACTTGCCTTGGTAGTTTGTTGTTTTGGTTAGGTTTATTACATTAATATAGTGATAATTATACCAGAAATAGAAGAAAAGAGCGAACTATTAATAAATAAATACAACAAACTTGATTTTACATTAGAAAAATATACATTATTACTATGTAAAACATGCAAAACCGGACTTTTTTTACAGTAATATTTGGTCGATGATGACATCATCAGTTCTAAGAGGGCGTCCTGGTAAATCTTAAATATAGATATTCGGAATGGGGTGCCATCTTTCATAATCAAAACCACTTTATGTAAAATTTCCAATTTATACTTGTTCAAACCTACTGTATATTTTCTTCTGTCTCTTCTTGTTTGGGATTTTTGGCGAAGATCTCCAACCAGCCGCTATCTGTGGTGATGACAACATCAAGTTCCATATCCACTGTCTGCTCTCGTTTGAGGGTATGGCTTGGAGAAGCTCCTACACTGCCATCTTCAGAGGCCCTTTATCAAAAAAAAAAAAAAGAGAAAAAAAAAACACTTTAATTAAAATTACACAATTTAACCAGCAGGGATGTTTGAGGACTATGAGTGAGATACTGATTTGAATAAACTATGTTTACTTCTTCAAACTTACATAAAACATAAATAATGAATTCTTCTAAACTGGTGGTGCATGTATACAATAATGAATTATGTAATATGGCCTCATTTGTAGATGTGGCTTGTGTAACAGTTGTGGTTTGGACTCTCAACCTTGAGGTTGGGGGTCGAAACCCTCGCGGTGTAAGTCGCATGTGTTCATAGACAAGGCACTTTATCTGTGTCTGTCTCTGTTTACCCAGAAATATAAGTGGGTACCCTGGTGGATCTAATACCATGCGTTAATTCTAGCCACATATGGAATTGTGCTCCCATGTAGCTGAGAATGTTTCATATTAAGTTTGGTCCATTGTGTGTAAAGAGAACAGAGGCAGTTTATTGCAATATGCACAATATAAATGTTGCATTTTTAATATCATACAGTATATAGTAAAATATAATGTATAAATAATCACAATTATGTCAACAATATAAACAAAAAAAATATGTATTTCCTTTCCACCTGGTGTTGCTACACTGCAATTTCAAATCTCCTGTGAAGATTTTATCGTTGCAAGACAATAGATAAATGCAGATTCTCACATCAAATTAAATACATATTGATGAACTTACTTTTGACTTCTTCCGATCTTCTTAAGAGGAGGTGGATGATGCAAATTGATAACAGATTCATCTGAGCTGGATTCATCACTGGAGTCGCTATCTGATAGTTGGAGACCTCTCGTGAGTGGCCATAAATACCTTGACGACTGTTGAAGAAGCTCACTGGTAACTTGCCTGGGGTCACCGATGGTCACATTCAACCAATCATCGGCTGTTGAGTGGCGATTAGGGCGTGGAGGACGGGGTTCCGTTTGCGGGAATGACATTTCCATGAAAGACTCCCTGTCAGGAGTGGGTAGATCAAAGACTACCTTTGGTACATGGGATCTACTCGGAGTCAGATCAACAGGTGAAGTAAAGTACCTTGGTTTGTCAAATGACTTTGGTGACATCACAGATCTAAAAATGTGAATACAAAAATCAAAGTTTATGATTTAGTAAAGGCAAAATGTTTGTATTAAAATCGGAAAGCCCTCAAAAAGTAAATAAAAGTAAATTGAATTTTGACACTCCAGTAAGGTACATGAATTGACTTCCGAAAAAATAGTCATTAGGGAGCTTTCTATTGCACGAAGACGGTAGGACATAGAACGTAACGAGGTCACTAAAAGTCATGCGTATGCGAGAACGTTAAGGTCACCTCGTCGAGTAGATTCTTGAACGTAATTTGGACAAATCTACGTATGTAGACAACGTAGGACGCCAGGTAGGATGGTCACGCATGAGTGATTCCGTTCTAGCGTCCCGTCGTCGCACAAATCGAAAGCTCCTAATAGGTGGTTAATGTGCACATTGAGTAATGCCACTGTCATAACGCCACTGAACACTGCATTTTGCCGTGGATATTGGCGCTGTATAAGTCATTGTTGATTGACTGATTGATAAATTGAAAGATGGACATGGAATGTCTTACTTGGATCTGCTTCTTCGTGGCCTTGCATCCGTCTGTGTATGTGCACTAGGCATTGGGATTAGACCAGGTACTAGATGATCTCTCCAAGTGTTTCCCTATCAGATAAAAACATCATTTGTTAGCTTGTACTCTGGAGTAAGTGACTATGTCGGTAGTTTGCATTTCAATGTGGGGTGGTCTTTGGGGTTAGTTTCAAATTTTAAAGGGTTAGCTTTGTGTTATTACAAGACTGATGGATGGGATTCAAAATAGTTAGAGTAAACACCAGAATAACCCACAAAAGTCTTCAGAAGACATATTTCTAGTGGGGTCCTTCAGGTGGTGTTTGGGCTGTATACCGGAAGAAAATCCTCTAATTTTTTTTCGAAGAGTGTACCGCGTTCTTTAATGTGCACATGGGCCACATTGCACATGGGATCAAGGGATAAAAGTTTCATCCAAAGATGGTGCGCTAATGAAACTTGTATTTCAGCCCTTCAGTAACAGTATTGGGGATTGAAGCAGGGATCAAGAGATCTCCACGTTCAACAGCACACACACAGTGGCTACTACCAGTTTAGCTGACTGTGATTGTGAATTTGTACCTTGAGAAAGTCTTAAATTACAGGGGTCTCAAATGCGTGCCCTATAATTGTCTTCCCACATACGCATAATATATAGTACATGTTGGAATGCAAATAAAGCTTGCCCTGTAATTCAAGACCACTTTTGGAACCTAAACATGGAAAGATCTTGGGGTTTCGGTCTCAAATTAAAGCGTCAGCTTTAGAGTTAAGCAGGGCACTCAATACATCATACGATGGTTGTACAACCGTCGGCCGATGAATTGAAAAAGTTGTGGCGTTCACTATAGAATTGCGTAGGCCAACGTCCCATCGGGTGGAGTGAGTGTCTGGCTTTAGTATCAAATAAGAGGAATCTCGAAAATAAAGGGTTCTCCAATTTGGAGGGTAAACTTTATTCTGCAGATTACACTTGGTCTATGCTCAATATTTACACTAAATAAAACATGAATTTGATCCAAAAAAACTTTTAAGTGAACAAAAATAAGTAGCATATATTTCTTCCTTGATAACTACAGTGTACTGTATACCTTAGTTCCGCCACCTTTCCTCATTTTCCGCCTGACTTCTTTTCTGAATTCCTTGAACACTGCCTCTTCAAGCTTCTCCAGATGCTTTGCTTCTTCTTTGATCGTTCCACTTTTTGCTCCTAAATTCCTGCACATTGAAAAATGTTGATCTTTTATTAATCAATTGTTGAGGCTTGGCTGATAGTCGCATGTCCACTATGGTGTTAAAACAACATAAAAATGTGTGTAGGAACAACACCAATATCTGTGCTTTACAATAGGTCGAGATATGCAAGTGAAAAAAATTAATGTAACAAAAATTTATGGAAATGGAACCTAATTAAATTACATGAAAAATGATGAAAATAACAAAAAAAAAATTATATTTTGCCTTTAACCAGTCACTAATCAAAATGACAAGGATCTATTTAGGTGTGTTGTATGAAACAAATAATTGAAGTCTTTTTAAGAGTGCAATGGAAGGAGTATTTTGATTAGTTAAAAGTTTGACTCTTTAAATAAATTAAAATCATTAACCATTATGAGAGTGCACCTACTGAACTTTTCAACATAAAAATATGATTTCATTATTCAAGAAATAAAAAAAAAAAAAAAAAAATAGGGAAATACCAACCTTAGATCATTCACTACTTTTGCCTGTTCTCGCATCTTATCTACCATGTCCTTAGATCTTCTTCTAGCATCTTTATTTTCATGTGAACGCTTATCCCTTGCTTTGCGAAACACAACCTAATAAACACATACATACTAAGAAAAAGCTGTATGCTGTATGCTGTATTCTTATAGGACTGTGCAAACGATTATTAATTAAAAAATTGAATATAATTATTATTATTATTATTAACATATTTTAAATTATGCAATTAAAAATCTCAAGCCACAATGGATATGATATTACAAAATCATGAATTAAAGATAATTAACAATAAAGTAATGATGAAGATAATAATAGTAATAACAAAATTAATATATAACTTTGATTGTAAAAGAAATTATGTTGTTACTATTGGTTTATTCCGGCTCAAATCAGCTAGGAATTTAAAATTTCCCAGTGTTCCCAATTGGATTTTCCTTTAAAAAAAATTCTAAAAATACCTTGATATGTGAAAAAAAAAAAGAATCCAAAATTTAAGCTTTAATTTCCAAATGGTTTTTAAGTTATGACCTTTTGAAATTAAGGTATCACGCCCCCTTTTTTCATTTTGGTAATGGCTCCTTTTAAACTTTGTATAGTTTTTACGAAGCTATATCTTCTAGATTAACAAAGAAAAGTTTTATTTTGCTACATAAGCTTGTATTTTGCCCCTCTTTTAAGAAATACCATTCAAATTTGGGTAGTATATTTTATAAGAATTGTCTATGCCCCCAAGAATCCCCTGAAGCAATTGTGCGAAAACAGATTTTCACTATTTTGGAAGGCCTTATCTTTCATTCCTTTAAGTAAGGAAGTTAAAATTAAAGATGTGATGACTATGCAATACTACATACAATTTGCAAGGTAATTGGAGCAATAATGAAGGTATGGTGGGGTCCCGAAAATGGTTGCAGGACCATTTACCCTCAAAATACCCCCTAATTTGACTGACCGGATGACCTGTTGACACCTAAAATTAATTATGAAATTTATACCACTATACAAATACACATATCATCATTGTAAGTAGAAAATTTAAATTTTGTTTCTCAACTCCTTACGTATGAACTGATTTTTTTTTTAAATGTCACTTTTGCTCAGATTTTAATGTTTTGTGGATATCAATCTATGTAACAACTGACAACTTTTTACCTTGATTATCCCAGGAGATAATACTAGTAAAAACCGTACAAAATTAAAGGAGCAATTACTGAAAAGAAAAAGGGGTGTGGTACCTAAATTTGAAAAGGTTATAATGTAAAAACTGCTTGGAAATTGAAGCTGAAAGTTTGGATTCTTTTTTTTTTAATTTTTTTTTTGACATACCATGGTATTTTTAGAATTGACATACCATGGTATTTTTAGAATTTTTTTTGGAGCAAAAACCAAGGGGGTTCAAAGGGGCATGGTGGTTGATTACAGCTGGAATGACGGCCTACATTTAATAATAATATAACACCAATATGATACAACACCAATAATGATACAAGAAACCATTAGTGCCACCACAGTATAATATATAAACACTTAGTTGCTTGATGCATTCCAGTGTAGAGTGTACAAAAAATAAATTCAAAACAAATTTATGCATAACACTATTAAATAAAAAAAATTATTTTAAAAACACTTAAAATATAAATAGTGTTAAGTTCTATACTGACACAAGTTAAAAATATCAATATGAGATTTAAATACATAAATGAAGTAAATAATAATAATACAAAATAATAATGTTATATTAATTTTGTTAGTTGCACTTCAGCAAAGTTATCTGCATTAGATCATTTGGATAGAATTAGTTTGTACCACTATGGTTTTCAGATTAAATAATATGGAGTAAAAATAACAAATTTGAAGAAAAACATGTAAAAGTTTAAGAATCGACTATACCTTCAGATTGAGCGGTTCTAAAGGCTGTACATTGGAGACATTCACTGGACAAACATCAGATATTTCACTATCAGATGAGAGCTGGGGCAACAGCAGGGATAACATCAACAACAGCAACAGCACAAGGACAATAAGAAGGAATAGCAGGAGAGAGGTTAATATAGATGGGGAAGCATACACTAGTTCCTTAAAGCAACTGTTTCACCCCCCCCCCCCCTCTTGATATACTAAAAACATTTAATCTTAAAATGCTAAATGGCAACCAGTGTGGATATCCCATTAGAGAATTTGATCAATTTTGTTATTACTGTTTAAAGACATTTAGCCAAAACTATAGTTTTTCCTGTGCAATGAGTACTATATATCTGTTTTACATCAATACCCCATTCTTTTAGTCAAACGATAAGTCATTTCATAGATAGAACTGAGCATGTCTGCAGCGGAGGTCATATCAATATAAAGAAATATTTAACACACACAACATAGGCTAGGCCTATAGGGTGTCCTTCGGATTTGTTTGAAAATAGTAACCAGCTGTTGCAGCAACTCCATTATTTATGGTAAAGATGAAGAACTGTTACAGCTTCCTAAAGGCCTATACGTTGTGTGTGGTAAATGATTGTTTATGTTGATTGATCTTCACTACAGAAAGGCGCAGTTAGAACTAGGAAATGGCTTATTATGGAAGATACTCAGCTGTCTGAGGAATTTTCCTTAATGTTGCAATGAGGAACATGAGTGCATTGCGGGTAGCCACTTGAAGCCCAAACCTTTGAAGTGATGGCCACCATTTTTAGGCAAAACTACATGGCTGAACTGGCAACTAATCTATATTGAATGTATACAGACAGGCATGTGAGCCAATTAGGTAATAAAACAGTTGCTTTAAATAATGATACTATTGCATGCGAATAAACCAAACAAGAATAGATTAAGAACTACACTCATGAATTATGCATGTCACTGATGATTACCATGACATATATGCATTCCAATGTGAAGAATAAGATTTATACCAAAATGTCTACTGATTAATCTCAGATAAGATAGTATATTATATACTCCAAGTATCAAAATGCTCCAATTACCGAAATGCATGCGATGGCATGCATTTCGATACTTGGATTATATATTATACTATCTTATCTAAGATTTATACACACTACAGTATTTTTTTTTTAAAGAAAACATTAAGTAAAGTATACAACAGAAAGAAAGCAAAATGAAAACAATAACATGAACATTTTCAAAATCAATTTGCAAACACAAATAATAGAAATTAGAAGATAAATTAATGGAATTGACAGTAACTAAAACTTTTAAATAAAACATGGTTTAAAATAAAATATCATCCAGAAAAACAATAAAGTAAGTAAAGAAAAAACCCAAATAACTGTCAGCATATTCATGAGTAATTCACAAGAACATAGTTATGGACACTATGAATGCCTGTTAAGTTGTAAAATCCAACTTAACTAAGACGACCAGACGAATAGAAAACTGGACAAAACAAAATACAAGCTAGCGTAATTAAGGTTGCTTCGACTTGTGGCAGTATGGGTTTTTTCGTTTAAAAAATGTTTTACTGCAGTTTTTGAATTCTGTTAGCCTACAATAATCTTTTTACTTTATGTGGCTAAATATTATAATTATTACTTTGTAAAATATAATTCAAATTATTAAATGCAAATTTTTTGCTAAACAGACCAATTGGTTACGTTCGTTTTTTTAACATGAACTGCAAGTTAACGCACTCTAGCTTACGTTAATTCCCGTTTTCAACGAAGTCTATATTACAAATCAGCCGAATGAAAATAACACTCAACGAAAAATCGGTGTCAACGAAAACGAACCAGTCGAATACGGTTATTGCAATTCACTTATGATTCATAAACACTGACACAATTACATTCATTTTAAACAATTTAACAATAAAAGAATATATTATGAGTAAAGAGAAATTCTTTTTTTTTATTTTACATATTCCTTTCTCAACCAACAGCAAGTTACTTGACACTTTCAGAATGAAGGTGATGCTTTGTTGACTAAGGTCAATGTGAGGCTTGATTAATTTATTGTATCATGTCGTCCTTTCTAGTCAGGTTAAAAAATCATGGCTCATAAAATTTTGCGATAGGATGCGATAGGAAAGCAAGCTCCTTTACTAATAAGCAAAAGCTTCACTCCAGCATTGGTTAATATTACTTAGATTGGCGGTTATTTTCTTCTTTTATATCACAAGTTTAACTTACTTATAAGTTATACCTAAGATCTGGTTTTGCTACGATTATTCACCTATCGTTCACGACACAACAAGACTTTATGCTCAAAAGGCTCAGCACTAAATATATAGTTAAGCATTTGGAGCAGTCTGCTTTGTATTGCAGTATTACCTGCTTGTTTTCGTTCTGCTCTTCTGGTTCACTCATCACAGTGCTCAGGTCTGCAATGTCGTTGTCGGCTGGATCACCAGTCAGCGCCGTTACCGTGTTGCTGAAGACGGATAAATGATGGCCGATATTGGGGTAGATCTTGATGTCTAATCCTTGCATTTCCCATTTGAAACTTAGCTCCCACTTGCCGGCAGATCCTACCGCTATTAATTAATAATAACATTGATGATAATAATAATTTAGATAACGTCAAGATGACGATGATGCCATCTGACTGAAAAGGAAGTGTAATATGGTACCAACCAGTGGTTTGCCAACAATTTGGCTGATGACCAGCAGAACATCATTTTTCGGGGACGTTAAAAAAAAAACATATACTCGAAATGGGTCACTTATACTCAGATGTGTTCTCTTTGCCGCAAACAAAATTTATCATGATATAAAATTTAATTTTAATAAATCCTAATAAGTATTATGACACTTTAATTTATGTGGTGACCTAATGTTGGATAGCGACTCATAGTTCGAGAACAGCCGGTACCAATGACGTATTGACTAACAGTCAAGACAATTAACAGTTTTAATCAGAGACCCCCGTAAAACAGAAAAAAAAAAGCAATAAAAAAAATGGGTAATGGAAGGGGAAAAATATTTTACCTACCAGAGTGTCCAGAATTGATGGTCTTACTACAAACTTTATAACTTCCTTTCGGAACAATACCTGACAAAATTAATGGAAAGAAAATTAGGCTTTTCGATTGAAATACTGTAGATATAGATATTATGTACTCTCAATTGCTTTCTATCACAGTGACCTGGGTTCAATCATAAACCACTCTATTCCACCATGAGCTGAGCAGTTGGCAGAGAGCCATTGTTTCTGCTTCTTGTGCCCAAGACCGCAGTTCAAACCCGATTATTGTGGAGTTTTAATTTGAGTCTGATCACTCAGCTCCTCAAAGAGCCCTCATATTGAGAGTTTAGCAGGTACATGACAATGTTTGTATCTGCATGTGTCCGTTATGTTGTAGTTACGTCATGTGGTGCTGCACTTCAGCTGCCGCTTGTCCCCAGATGCATAGCCCAAATTTCTGATTTCTAATTAAAATGGGGGCAGAATTATTATTATTATTATTATTGTTATTATTTTATCTCAGCTATTGTTAATTAATCTTATTCCTGCTTAAATTTAAGTGTGAAGCAACAATAAACATGTATGCGAGCAGAGATGTATTCAGATTTTTGAAAAGGGGCAAGCTGAATAGAAATATTACATACAGAACATAATCAAAGGAAGAAGGAAAGGAGTGACCAAAAAAATAGTGCTGAACAGTGGAAAAAGAGAGGAAAATACTGGGATGAAATTTTGGAGTGCAGCTAAAACTGTGGCCAGAGACGGGGGAACCCTGGAGAGAGAGCCTTACAGCCTTATTGGCCACTGGGCCCAAAGAGGATAAGTAAGAACATAACACAAGGTGCAAAACTAGGGATGGATCATATTGATGGCTTTGACTGCACCATAAATTGGCTACTAAACATCTAAAGTAACTTACTTTGATGTCTAGTGCTATTCATTTACTATTACTTTATTCATGTTTGAACAAAATTGAGGGTTTTCAAAAACCAAGGTTCCTGGATACAGGAGACAAGCACTGTCACTCCAACTTCAACCTTCTAACATAATGAATGAACTATTGAGATTCTAACTTACAAGCATTTGCAATCTCCATCTCCTGTTTCTTCCAATCATCCATCGACACACCAAAGTCATCCGCAAATCGCAGACAAAAGTTACTGAACTGTCCCTCACTGACGAGGGCGCCACAATAGTGGACTGAGATGAGGGACTCGTCCAGTGTCAACACCAATGCTTGCTGCGATTCAGGTTCTTGAGATACACTGGCATGGCTTTCATTCTGAATTAGAAAAAACTCATTTAATTAGTTAAAAAAATGTATTCAACATATTTAAACTTAATATGAAAAAGCTAATTTTAGTTAAAAAGCAACTAGGGCTATACAATGATTTATAATAGAAGGTGAGTATACCGAACCTCAAATTGAAGCCCAATGGGCTTATCGAAAAGAATCCCATCTCGAATTGTAGTTCCCCTCTTTAGTTTGAATTAGAATCGAAAAAAAAAGACACCATCTTGAAAAATGGGCTTCTTTTCAAAATAGCATAGGCCTCTTTTTGAGATATTACAGTACATACACTGTACTATGTACACTGTACGTGAATTTCAACTGGTTTATACAGTAATTTAGATGATTTAATGTCAGCTAATTCACTCCATGATACAGACTGATGTTTTATAGTACGAATTCCCAATATTTACAGCATTCGTTTTGAAAAGAAGCCCTCTATTTATTTTGCAAAAGTAGCCTTGCAAAAAAGACCATCTCGAACACAGGCCCATCCAAAGTTCACATAAAAAAAGAAGCCCAGGGCTTCAATTCAAGGTTTTACGATATCTTATCTAGATCAGGGGATTCACATTTCTACCTTGGTCATGGAAATTTCAAAGTGTGCATAAAATACAATTAATTTTAAATGACAGCAAGTAATCATAATAACTACAAAAATATACATGTATCTTCACATAATTCTGTTCAGTACTGTCCATAAATTCTATTCTGACTTCTATTTTTAATGTGATTCTTGCTATTGATTATATTGCGTGATTGATCTTAAATTTTTTTTCTTTTTTTTAATGATTTATTGTACTATCAATTTGACTCTCTACTTTAATGAATATCATTTATAATGTACATCACATGCAATTCAGTCTTTGTTACTGCTTTTTTTAAAAATCAAAGTAGAAATACCATCACAAAACAAAACAGCAATACCAACCCCTCTTTGTAGTTGATAGGTGGGCACACACAATCCCAGATTCTGCACCGATACTTGTAAGAAAACCCCAGTTGAGGAAGTAGTAGCTGCTGGAACTGGCATCTGGGGCTTTGGCAAGCGCGACATCACCTCCTGGGTGGCTAGCCATACCTCCTTGCTGAGGGCCTGGCGTTGCTCATGCCAGTGATCGTAGGCATTTTTATAGTTCAGCCAAACTAATACAGCTGAGGAAATAAGTATATCAAAGTGTATTAAGTATAGCTCTATGATAGTATACTGGTACTGGTAGATATTTATAATGTGCCTCTTCCTTGAGGTTATAATGCGCAATTTTTTGACCTGGTCATTGGGGCCACATGCTAAGTGGGGCTGCTGGTAATCAGCGCAGGAGCTGCCAATCCCAACCAGGTACCCATTAACACTCATGGGTGGAGAGAAAGCAATGCAGATTAAGTACCTCGCTCAAGGACATGTTGCCAAATAGATAGGTTACAGTGGCCAAACTATAACTTTACTGTAATTAATATTGATGTAAAGATGTAAGTAACCTTAACTTTGTTATATTTACACCACCATTGAATTTACCTACTTTTATGTGACAATATACAATTGCCAAATTAAACATAATAGCTTATGATTATTTCATTATACTTTCCAGCACATTAAACTCATTAGTTTAAAATTAGGGCTATTTTTATCTTAGACGCTAACATAAATAAGAATTAGGAATTCGTTTAAGACTTGTGTAACAATATCCACTGTCAAAATTCTATGCTGTTCTTTTCGTCATTTGCAATGTTAAAACAACAATATTTAACAAATTAGTGATGGTTTCTGCCTGAGAAATGCTTGACATCATAAACCATGTAGGCTGATTTCTCAAAAATTATTCTTTAAAATTTTAAACGTTTGTAACTTCTTAGGGAAATGTCGGATTTAAATGATTCTTTTACTATATATAGTTCTCATATTATTGTTGAACCATTGTGTTAATGAATAAAAATAGATTTTTTGTGACGAGTGACTGGTGTGGCCTGTCTTTGCCACAAATACCTTTATCTACTGCTTGTGGAGGCATGTAGAATAATGGTCGTTCTAGAGTTACAAGTACAACTCCATTATTACTGGTGCTGGAAGCCTTCGATTCTGGAGCGTTAACAATCTTGATGTTGGTTTTGAAGAATGCCAACTGGGTGTATTCAGGTTGGGCCTCCTCAAATAGAGGATTGCGAATCATATCTCCAACAGACAAAGTTAACTCAACGTTGGTCTTCAGATACACCTGCTTGGTATCAGTACCTATATAAAATCAGTCAACCAAGCAATCATTCAATCAATCGATCCATCCATTTTGTGCATTTAATATTAAAGTATGCTTGTTTTTATTTCAAATCTATACATAATACAATACAAATTGATATACTCGATGGAAAAACCAAGGATAACCTACAAAAGTCGGAGAAGGACATATTTCCAGTAGGGTCCTTCTGGTGGGGATTGGGCAGTACATCAAGAGAAAATCCCTACTCTTTTCCAAAGAATATACTGCATTCTTTAAAATGCACATGGGTCAACAATGCATACAGGCCATAGTGAACATATTTACTTTAAAGGGGTGAGTCGAATGGCCGAGCGGTTAGCAGGGGCGCCGCAAGCTAGAGCCCTAATATCGGCGCTGGTTCGAACGGCACGCTCGCCTATGGTTCTGGTGGTAGAACAAGTCTTCTCAGACAAAGACTATAAACCGTAGGCCCAGTGTATACAATGGCTCGTGTGCACTATAAAGAACCCAGTACATCCTTCGAGATGAGTAGGGGGGTAACCCCGGTGTACTGGTACAGACACCGAGAGTTGCTGGTACCAGGTTACTGGGTAGCACAAGCAAAAAGCGATGCTTAGGGGCGAAGAAAGTCATTGATCGAGTTCTTTGTCCACATATCAAGTGCCCTGAGCATCTTATATTAGATGGATATGTGCGCTATATAAAACTACATTATTATTATTATTATATAAAAATTTTGTATTAAACTTAAAGACAAATAGATAGTACTTACTTTCGGAATCACAAGGTGGTAGATTGGTGATATCAAACTGTATGGCATTGGTTTCAAATTGCACGGCACTGGTAGATGGTGTCTGAGCTGTAACTTGAATACCCTGCAAAAAAAAAAAAAAAAGAATTTATATATAGATAGACTTACAGACTACAGGGGCGGATCCAGAATTTTTCAAATAAGGGGGGGCACAACATACTCAGAATAGATAAGTGAATAGTGCTAATTTCAATATATGCATTAACATTTTAATATTTAATTGCAAAACGGGGAGGGGAACATTTCCCCTGTTCCCTATCCGCCTCATACTAAATTGAGATAAGTATAAGTTTGGAACTTGAATTTTGAGCCAAGTGAGCTTTCATAATCAAATCAAGTTTAATCTTTTGCCATCTATTATAATTAGAATTATTTACGTGACACTCCCTTTACATGTACTGCAAAGACAAAACTCATAAATTATAATTAAATTACAAAGAAAAGAATAACAAAAACAAAACATTTAAAGTTAAAGAGACATATTAAGCTGCCTAATAGTTGTAGGATAACAGATTTTTGAAAATCTAGTTTTCTTAGCATTGACAGAACAGCATTGCTGCCCGCTGAATTTTTACTCACTTGTTGCTTGAGTGTTAGTCTGAATGGTAGAATTGAAGTGTTTTTAGGAATCACCAACGACTCTTGACTAGAAGCTGGATTGCCATCATCATCATCACCTACAAGCTTGTGCATTATCTCATTCACCTCCTATTATAGGATAAATAAAACCAAAATACATGATACAAAAAACTGATATAAAAACTTCGTACCTTAAATGTCATAAAAGGTAGGAGATTGTAATGGCAACAAATATGTTTTCTGTTGAAACAAATCCAAAAGCAAGACAAAACCTGGCCAACATCCGAAAAAGCTATGATTGTGACTGAAACGTCACATTTAAGTGATAGCGTTTTCTTTCAACAATTTTTTTTTTAATCGATGATCTATATCTCATGGTAAAAACAAAATAGTTTTTAGTAATTGCTGTATATACTCGCATATAAGACATGGCTTAAAATAGCGAAATTACGGTTGAAAATCAGGGGGTTGTCTTATATACGCAATTTTAGGTTTTGTAAATCATGTTTGTTGTTAGTTAGTATAATGAACGCAATTTTAAATACGGGGAAATAAGATTTGAACATTTAAAAAGTCAGAAATTGGTATTATTCAGAAGATTAGACTAGCATTTGACTACGTTTTAGCCAGCCAAATGCAGTATTAAAGATGATAAAAAGTAGGAATTTCGATGATGAAATGGGAGGGGGGTTATCCTTACACCCAACATGCAAAAAAACGTCCAAAAATATTCTCAAACTCGCCAGTCGTCTTATACGTGGGTTGCCTTATACGTGAGTACATACAGTATACACACATTACCTTGATGAAGACTTTCTGGACGAATACCAGATGGTTAAGTAGATCAGTAGAGATGGTGTGGTTGAAACTACCGATGTTGATACCGGCCATCAGGTAGAAGCTGTCCAATTTCTGTGCTTTATTGTGAACGTTGTTTCTGGGTTTCATATCGGCAAGAAACTCGATGGTTGGCAGCTCAATACTAGCTGATGAGAAGACCTCCTGGGCATCTTCAACCTATCAACCACAGAAAGGTTAATATCTATCAAACTTAATACTCAAACAACTATAAGGCGCCAATTCCAAAATGAATGATCAAAGGCGCGAGCGTCACTACTCCTGGTCAATGGATAATGTACAATGGCACACCAACAAAAAGTGCAACATTCTCTGCTCTCTGTGGAGTATCCCTAGTAGTTCACTACTTCTTTAGTGCATGAAACTAGTACACTCAATGCCACAACATCCTACCAGGTACTCATTTATACTACCTGGGTAGAGAGATGTAAACATACAGTATATAAAGTGCCTTGCCCAAGGACACAAGCGACATGCACAGCGAGAGTTTTGAACCCCTGACCTCCAAGCCACAATCGATGCGCCAACCACTTCTACAACTTGTATACATAGTCACATTGGTAAAAACAGTAACAATAATAGTACTTTTAGGAAAATAGAGTAAAATTTATTCAAGTGTTTACCTGCAGGATACACAAACAATAAAAACAAAGAAGCTAAACATGGTTTCAAGTTAAATAAAAACATTTACATTCTTCCATTGATAACAATACAAAATAAAGGACATAACGTACATTAATAATAAGTTATGGAAACAAAGAACATAAGCAAATGTGGCAAAGACAAGCCAAACCAGTCACTTGTCGGAAAAATCAATCTTTAGTTATTAATACAGGGTTTAACAGTAAAATGGGAGCTATAAAATGGTAAAAGAATCATTTAAATCCGACACTTTGTTATGAAGTTACACGAGTTTAAACATACAGTTGTTTAAAGAACAATATTTGAGAAATCAGTCTTTAAAGTTGACAATTTCAGGCATTTCTTAGGCAGAAACCATCACCAAATGGTTAAAATTGTTTTAACATCAAAAATGGGGAAAATAACAGCATAGCATGATGTATAGATATATAAAGGTTAGTTTAGTGCAATAAAATAGATTTCCAAAATTTTGAAATTCCAGCATGTTTCGGCCATTATCTCCAAAACAGGATTTGCGACGAGTAAATTGGCTTGTCTTTGCCACAAATGAAGAAAGAACATGCCAAAGATGTTCATGTGTTGGGCAGTCAGTCAACAGTGCAAGTGCAATACTGTATCTAAGTGACATGTGTTGAGAATGATTCCAAGATGCAGTCAAAAATCATTTTTTTATCAAGGACTTTTAAATGTACCAGTAAAAATCTTTGATTTTATAAGCATATTTTAAAAATTAGAAATCACAATCACAATGACAACAATGAAGATAACTACAGTATTAACAAAAATGCTTGTACAAGTAAAGTCCATCGCATGTAAATTTGTGAATGAATAAACATGAGAAAGGTTTACCTGTGATATAAAGGAAATGGCGTGATTGGGCATGTGTATGGTCACATGACACTCCTCATTCATATTCATGTTCCCAGTTGCATCCTTCAGCTTTTGAAAGATAAAAAATTAAATATTCATTTATTTTATAAATTACCAATAATGACATTTTCTGGCCAGAAATATACTTGGTTAGCAATTAAAACAATCTTAAATCAATAACTGAAATTGTGTATACATAAAATCATTGAGTATAATTGTTTTTTTTAATGAAAAAATAGCATTTTATGATTTACATTTTCTTAATTTATGGCAGTATTAAATCTTAGGATTTAATTTAGGGTGAACCCATATTCTAATTTTCACAGGTATGCCTGAAAATAAACATAAACTTTGCAATTCCATTGAAGCATTAATTTTCCTTAATGTTAATGGTATTTGATATAGAGACTTTTCTAGGGAATACAAAGCGCTGTGGACTAACTGTAACTCGTTTCAATGACTTTCTTCTCCCCTAAGGGTCTCTCTATGTCTGAGCTACCTGGTAAACCGGTACCAGCTACTCTCGTCCGTCCACAACAGGGGCTGTATGGACCAGAACACCGGGGTAGCCCCCTACTCGTCTCCAAAGATGTACTGGACTGTTTTAAGTGCACACATACTAGATTGTGTACACTGGGCCTACGGTTTATGGTCCTTATCCGAGAAGACTTGTTCCACCAACAGAACCATAGGTGAAGGTGCCATTAGAACCAGCACCGATAACATGGCTGTAGGTTGCAACGCCCCTGCACTAACTGCTCAGCCATCCAACTCACCATCCAACTTAAAAACCTTTATTCTTTAAAAAACATGGGCAACATTCAGGGACCAGCATGAGGCTATTCTTTTACAGTTAGTTAAGACTAATGACCAACATACCTGGTACTGCGCTCGAAGTGAGGGCAAAAGCATGGCTTGCATACAAATCCCTTTCAACATCAGATTCATCGTTACAGGTTTTGTCTGCTTAGAAAATGCAGGACGATCAGGCTCATCAACGCCTACTTGTGAAAGCGTATCTTCAGACCTGTGCAATAAATTAAATATTAATGCAATAAGATTTGGAAAAGAATTTAATTTAACAAGTTTGTTGTCCAAAAAGATGAATGAATATATCAAATATCAATTTAATAACAACGTATACAAACACTTCAAGTGGAGTCCTTTTAGTGGTGAATCAGGCAGTCTGAGTACAATGGGACAAAACCCCCTGCTAATTTCTAAAAAGTGTACTGCAATATAATTTAAAAACTATTTTGAAAAAATAAAAATTTAATTTAACAAATTCATTGGCCAAGAAAGATTATTGAAATATATCAATTTAATAACAAAGTATATACACAATTTAAGTGGAATCTCTTTAGTGGTGAATCACGCAGTACAATGGGTCAAAACCCCAGCTCATTTCTAAAATTGTACTGCAATATAATTTAAAAACTTTTTGAAAAAAAAAAGTGAAATTTAACAAGTTCATTGGCCAAGAAAGATGAATAAACATATCAATTTAAAAACAAAGTGTATAAACAATTCATTTCAAAACCCCAGCTCATTTCTGAAAACTGTACTGCACTCTTTTAAGATTCACATTTGTCATACTACACACAGAACCAATGGTTACAGCTGGATTCACACCAAATCAAATTTTTTGTTTGTTTTGAAAGGCATACTAAACTGATCAGAAAATCAAATCAGTATGTAAAAATAGGGACGCTGCATTCAGCGTATCAGGCACGGTCAAACCTTATAAGGCGAATGCAGCTTTAATATGTCTTCCTAATGATGTTGCAAAGAAATTGAATGTGGGTTTTACCCAGTGTCAACGAAATAGCTTACCCCCACATTGAGTTTTGCCAACAATACCTAAGCTGCTTGAACAGAGAGGAAGAACTATTTTGAAGTTACCTGAAGTTTTTGAGAGGTCTGCTGAGTTCGGTTGCCTGGTCAGTAAGGCGTCGACTACTCCTTGTTGCCATCTCGTGAAGAGTGGCAGGGTTCTGCGGCAACTCCATGTTCAACTCTCCTAGCACAATGGTACCGATTAAATGATCTTCATCATTCAAGAGCACATGGGACTTGCTTAGGCTTGTGGCTAACACAACTCTAGATTCGGAACAAAAATATATCAATATACCAAGTTCATGTAAATAGTAAAACCGCATAAATGTTTGTAACGTAAATGCTAATATCAGTTGTCTATTGAAGATAAGTGAAAAAAAAAGATGAGAATTATGTTAACCTAATTTTATGTTAGATTCTATAATGAGTGTTTTATACTTACTGTCGAAGACGGCTGCTTCGCTCTAGTAAATGTATGTTGAGTAAATCAAAATGAGCAGTGCTTGCGATCTTTTGAACATTCTCCATCATTGCTTGACCTGTAGGCAATGTTTGTTTGCACAGTTAACAATTAAAACCACATATTTGTGTAAACAAAAGAACCAAATTGTAGTAATAAACAGTTTTATGATTAAATAATATACAGTATTTACTTCATTCATTACTTAAATTCATCAGGTTTCCAAAGACGTTTTTTTTTAAACAAATAAAACAATTGTTTACCAGCCAAGTCAGGGGTCATTATTGAAAGAAAAAATGGATGATATTAACTAAATCACATGTCACACAGCAAAAAAAAATTGTCCTTATTTCTAATTTTCTATTGAGAGTTAAAAACTTCTACAGTAAGCAACTGACATTGCTTTACCTCAACACACACAACTTTTTACTACATTTCTGTACAATTTCAGATTACCTGATTGAGGTCTTTGTTCCCTTTCATGCGTGACACTGCCATACAACTGCATTATTTCGCTTTCTAGCTGGAGACCACCGAGTTTAGCTTGGAGCTGGACACTGTCAATGACCGCTGTAGTGGTCAGAATCACATGGTTGGTGTTCACAAACATGTCATAGTATCCAAGCATCTCCTCCTCCGTTCTGCAATTCAAACACAAGTCAAGTTACAATAAGTAAAATGTGAACACTAAACTTGGTATGGTTAGCAAAAATATTGATAATTTACTGATGACAAAAAGAGGGATTGGTTTATAACAAAAAGATTCAGCACTTTTAATCATCATTAATGTAAATAAGAATGTACAGACTGTGTATCAGAGCAAATTACAGGACAGACAGCTCCAAAAATTGACACTTTAAAGCATTAGAAGAGTATAATTATCAACTTTACAATATAAGAGTACGTTAAAACAAATAAATGTAAAAGAAATTTATAATAAAAATTTGACACAAAAGCCAATCCCCAAACAAATAAACCTCACTAACACATCCTAAAGAAAATTTATAAAATTGAAAAATAAATTGAAAAATAAGGTGCATATAATTAAAACTCACCCAGTCTGGTGCGGAGAGTCTAACTCATCATCATCACTGATCTGCACATCCTCGTTCTCAATGTTGAAGAGTGGATTGATCGTCAGCTGACCTTTAACCATTTGATCAGTCCTTGCCGAATACAGATCGATCAAATGATACATAGTCTGCCAACAGCGTGGCTCGATGTCGCTATCCCCCTCCCAGAATCTACTCCCATAGACATCATCGGTCTCTTCAGTCTCATGAGTCTGCCCCGCATTTAACAGCATCTCTGTGGTTTCAGCCGGGGTGTTACTTGTGTATCGGGCAAGCTTAAGGTTGGTCCTTGTACTTTTGAAATTCTTAACCATTGAAACCAAATGTACTACAAATCTTAACAATGGCATATTCACTAACAACTGAATTTTTCCAAGCCTGGCAGCCAGCTGGATGTCAATAAGTTTATGCTGACTTAGCTTTTCCTCTTCTGTTTGACTTGAGTTATCTTCTTTGGATGTCAATTTTCCCAAACCATCAACTCTAAATTTTTGGCAATCTAGCACAAGAATTTCTCCTTCTGCTTTTTGATTGCTTATTGGTCTGTCTTGCTTGTTTCTAGTGGGACGCCGCTTAGTGGTCGTTTTTCTAGGTTTGTTATCAATCACAAACACGCGAGCAGAGTTAATTTCCAACACAACTGAGACAGCACCAAGATTTTGTAATACTGTTGATGGTTGGCCAAGCTGTTGCTCTCCAGGCACTCCCAGGTTGTCTAACAGAGGATAAAACATTGTATCTGCTTCTCCAATCATTGGAGTTGTTGGAGTTAAAGCCAGTTTAGATTTTAGCTTGAACTTGAAGTCAGAGGTTTTAGTAAGTGTTCCTAATTCAAGATCCCCTTCCTCCATCCCAGCATTTAGTGGTGATGTACTGGTTGAGGATGCAGGTTCAGCTTCTATTTTTTCTAGCACTTTGGTACTTTGGGTAGGATAACGATCAACGGAATGATGAGAATACACAGTGGCCATGCTTTCATCTGTGTGCGACCTTATCCTGGCGTACGAGTCCATCTGTCGGATGTTAGAGACCCTGCTTGGTCTAGGTTCTGCAAATTCTTGATACAGATCTACTTGAGATCCTTTCATTTGAGTATACTGATACGAATGCGAAAGAGAGCTTGTTTCATCCAGGTGATCCTGTGTGCCATCAACATCTGTGAGTGTGGCATCTTTCTGGTAATTGTCCATGAACTGGCGATCAGCTTCCTGGGGAATATTGCCAGCATTGATCGCAGGACCCATGGCTAGAACCTGCCAATGTGTTGCTGCCATCGGATTCACAAGAGAGAGGTTCATTCTCCACTGACGAAGTAAAACGTGTATGCCTTTGTCTAAGGTGGTGACAGCAGGAAGTACCTCTGGTTTTAACAGTTCCTCTAATTCTACTTTTGATGACTGCATATAACGCAATAAGAGCACCAGAAGCTGGCAAGATAAGTCTTCTTGGATAGTGTGAGAACGTTTGCTCAAGTGAGGGTATGACATCTGAGAAGAGAGAATTGTAAAGGAAATAAGGCTTGATGTAGAAAGATTACGTAAAGCCATGTAACTACCCTGACAAAAGTAAAGAATGGATCAAACTAATGAAAGCTTGGATACTTTTTCAACAATCTGTCTTTAATACAATTAACATGTTGACTGCCAGACCTTTTTTTACGGTTCCTTTCCGTGTGCCAAAACAAGTTTACATGTTCAAACATACATTTTTGTAACTTTATCTAGTCATATATCATCAAAATGATGTGTCTAATAAATTGGCGGGAAAATATTAGGGGGGGCGAGTATAATCGTCGATGGCACTGTGATAGAACTTTTTACTGACTATGCCAAGTGCGAGTTATCTCTTCCTCTTTTTGCATGGGTTGGTATATGTTCAAAGGGCGCCCCCACTTGTACCGCTCGAGTGTACTACCGGCAACATAACACAACAAACATACATATGTCATTTGTACGCTATCGTTTAGGTACGTGTATCTTCCCCAAACTACCAGCCGTTGAGTCTGTGCTCCTACATTGTATAATAAAGAAGTTAACAACGCTAGAATGTTCCCCCCTTATTGACGAGTATACTCGTTTCTGGCGCCCTCAGCAACACCCTGTGGGCGAGTATACTCGTCGCTGGCGGCCAACGTGTTAATGTTACTATTTTTAGCACAAATAAATTGAATTAAAAAGCAGGACAAGATTTAATACACTTATATTAGCAACTTTGATGATGTATACTTGCTAATTCAGTTGGCATGATTACAAAGATATTTATTCCTTTATCTAAATATAGATATACTCTGAGTTTTCCACTTGCAGAAGCAAAAAAAAAAAAATTAAGGGATTTGTATCCCAAGACCTAGAAATTGGAGGGTGGGAACCAAGCTGGAATTTCAGAATCAATACCTCATTCCGTTTTCTCCACTCTTCATTCTCATGGGCCAATGTCATTAAACAAACAAGAATGGCACACTTCCTCATATGAACTGTCTCACTGATACATTTCAAAGTGGTACTGAAGTGATCTGCAGGAATCAGCCAAGCATCAAGAGCAGGAGTCGCAGTATTTAAAAGATTGGCTAAAAATCTACAGAAAAAAAAAATTAATTGATGTACTATAATTAATATTCTTTTATTATTATTATTATTATTAGTGAATATTATATTAAGAAATTACTATAACTGCGCATAGTAAACTAGTGGAAAATTATTATATGACGGTTAAATTGAATGCATTAAATCTATTAGATAAAAGCATAATCATTTTCCAATAGTGAACAGTTGGGGATAGGAAAATAACATCAGGAGTTGCAGTGATGACGTTACGATTGACTTATAATAGGATTTGAAGTCTGAAATTCTATAGGGATATTACAGTGCTTACATGAATAAAGTTAAGAGCCTTAAAAATCAGTTATGTAAAACCATCCATACCAGTATACATGAGCTCTACATGGTGGTAAAAATACGGTGGTTTGCAAATAACATTATAAAGAAAAATCTCACAATTTATCACTGTCCTCAACAGTGGTTTTCCTTGGAGCTGGAACTCCAGTCCAGATTCCTCCCAAACTCACTTTCACCAGTGGCATATCTTCATGGTGGACAGCATCAGGAGTACTGGAGTTACTCGATCTGTTAGGAACTGGAGTAACATCAACTTTATCTTTGTTGATAATCTTCTTTTCCGGTAGTCCGCCTTTGATGTTTAAGGCCTCCAGTCCTAGCTCTGCCATAATCCAGCCATACTCTCGCAGATCTTGATCTCTCTTACAGAAGAACATCACCTTGGAGTGGGTGTCAGTGATTGCAGTCACACCAGCTCCATCCCTGCTCTTCCTTGATCCAACTGGTAATAATCGAAGTTGAGCATGGAGCCTCTGAGCACTCAATTGGCCTATGATACCATTGCCGATTGTTAAACCAAGATTGAAATTGTAACCACACAAGGCCAGTAGGGAATGAACCGGTACTGGCATCTCAACATCTCCAGGCTTGAACCAAGAACCAACTTGAAGTAAACAAACATTTACCTACAATTTAAAAAAAGGCCATTCCTTTTATATATTAGTTTTAAATGTGAGACAACTGTCTGAAAGAATCCAATAGTACAGTTATTTAAAATTGCTATGAGTTGTTCCATTTGAAACTTTGAAAATATATCTAAATTTTTAACAGAAGACAATTCTTTGTAAATAAACCAGTCATGGTTCATGATCATAAAGCCACGTTCAGACTATCAAATATTATTTGATAAAAACAGGTGACATGCCTAAAAATGATCATGATGAAATCACATAATGACACATTTTGACAGTTTTTTGTCGATAAAAATTTGATCATCTGGACACAGCTTAACATATATAATATATAGAATGACCTACCTGTTTGAGATTCACAGTCAATTGAGTATGAGATAACTCTGTTTCTTCCTTCGACTTGTCGACAGTTTTCTCCACCTGACTTAAACATGATGAATGCAAATGGTCCACTACCAAAGCAGGACTTAAGTTACTGACAATCGGTAATAACACAGATACCAGCCTGATTAAAAAAAACAATTATTAATAAAGTATTGTTTAAAGGACCATACAACCTTACATAATTTAAATGAAAAATAATGTAAATTAAATAAACTTGATTTACTTTTGCATGGCTGGCAGCATTAGAGGTGATAGAAAAACTTCAAGAGGCCCACCGACTTTGATGATAACTCGGTTTCCTTGATTTGTGGTGACAACGCTGCTTTCAGATGTTATATCTAAAGAGAAATTGAGAGAGAGGTACTTCTAAGTTATTGCTTTGAGCATTTAAATAGCTTAACAATTAAAAATTGCTGTTATGTTCACAAGAAGAGAAAGCATACTCACCTTCTCCAATGTTAACTGAACTGTTCAAATCTTCACCTGACTTCACTGGTGTGGCTGCTGGAGTAGAGGCTGACACTTCTGATGTGATGTCGCTAACTGAGCTTGATAAACTCTGTTCTCCTGAGGTTGCATCTCGAAGCTGCATAAATCCTGCACTGAAACCATGTTGGACCACATTGAAAGAAGGTTGCGGTGGGCAAGTTGTACGCATGGTACTCAGCGTGGAGTCAATGCTAGAGCATGGTGGCACTGGAGATAATAGTTCATACTTAACATGACTTAAATGATGAGTGTAGGCTGCCATTACAGAAGCTTGCTCATGGAGATCTATAACACTTGGTTGTTCTTCTTCGGCCACTGTATTGGCAACAGATATTGCTGATTTGAAAGACACTGATGAAACATTGGATTCAACATCTGCATTGTCTTGATTTTCAATGACAGAATTTCGATTGGAATTTTCAGCAGACAGGGAGACATCAAAGTCATATGCAAGTATTTCATCTACCAATCTCTGTCCATCAGTTCTGATCAAACTTGAAGATGAAGCATGGGATTCTTCATCAGCTGAAAAGTATTCACTGAGACTGGTTGATGACAGTGACCACCTTGTTTGTGAATCTAATGCTGGCCTGTCAGTTTCATCTACCTCTGAGGGTGACTGCATTTCTTGTGGGATCTTCTCCATTTCTGCCATTTTTCTCACTACGATGTCACTATGGTGCCGTGCATGTTTGTATTTTGGAAGTAGTATGGAAGAGGTTGGTAAACTTAAGGAACTTCCTATCATTCCCAAAGCTGGAATTTGTTGCTGGATGTCAGTAACATCTGACCTAATACTTGTTCTGTCACTGCCTGCCATTTCTGGTTGAATTGTTTTTTCAGAACTTTGGCAGCTGCTTTGGTCATCCTCTATTACAATGGCTTCTGGAGTCATTGTAGAAAATGGACTGCCTGGTGTAGATCCGGGACTTAAAAATCCCTGTGTAAAAAAATCCTTTAAAGGAGAATCTAATCTGCTTCCGTTGGTATGCAGCACATTTTCTTCATTTTTCAGAAGACTCTGTCCATAAGCTAGGCATTCTTTGTTAGATGGATTTGAGGCATACTTCTTTCCATGCAAAAGAAATTTGTTACTTTTTCCATTTCCAAAGAATGTACAGCCTCCAAGACATCCACAACATGTTTGAAAACTCAAACTTAGTGGTGGCCAGAGGAACCAGAGCCGCCGAGTTCGTCTGTCATGTAGTCTTAAAAAGCTCTGTTGAGCTTTACAGTTAATGGCAGTGGTGGAAAGATCAGATGAATCTAGATTTACTGGGCCTAACTTCAGTTCACCAACCTGAAGCAATGGTTTTGCTATTTCAACTTGTGACATGAACAACTTAATTTCAATTAAATCTATGTGACATGAAAGACCAGCTTCCACAGCTTCACTATGGAGGTTACAAGTTGAGAGCTGCACAGATGAAGTCTGGAAAATAAATAGTAATAAATTACACAAACCAGCAGTAAAGTTGCTAATCAATAGATACTTAATTGGATAACGAACTATTGCCAATGTTCCTAAATAAACATATACACAAAAAATAAATTGGGTGGGAAGCACAAACTCTTTAAGGTTTTAAGGTACACTAACCTGGATGGCCAGCACCGAGTCTTCCTCTTTCAGGCAGATATGGAAGCCCTCGAGCCACACTCTGGTCATTCGGTACTTGAGCTGGTTCTCTGACGGGCATGGTAGTGGATAAGCCTTTTCTTTCACCCTGCAGGCCGACTGTATTACCTGGTGCACACACTTGGCATCTCGTACAGGCTGCTCTAGGCTGTTCTCACTGTCAACCACAAGCATGATGAATGTCTCAGCAAATGATGCAAGAGCTAAGGCCTATTAAAGAATAATATGGAAATAAATTCATCCGATTTGTTGTTATGACAGAATAAAATTCAATGATTGTCTCAAAGAGAAGCTGATGACTTTTAGCAGATCATTGGTCAATGGTTAGAACTTGTTGCCGACAACTTCAGAGAGTTTCACTAAACTGAACTTGGATGATTTGTCTCTGAGAAATCGGAGAGCCTTCCCAATAGACCATTCCTGAGTGTCAATCAAACCTAACAACTGATCAATCAGAATAACGTCGGAAATATGCACGCGTCCAACAAATGTCCCACAAATGCAAATTTTTGCATATGTTTTTACACCGTCGTTTTGTGGGATCTTAGCAATAATATCCAATGGGATCCATTGCATCGGGGAGAGTTATGTAGTGTAGCGTTTGCTGCAGAACAATGTAGCGATTTTATAAAAACCAGGCTTCACTTGATTAATGATATAAAATAATAAATTAAAATGTATTTTTTAAACCTTTAGGATGAAAACTAACCTGTGTTGGAGAGAGTTGACCAGACAGTAGACCTAGCTGAAGCTCCACAAGCCAAGCATATTCCACAGTGTCAACCTCTGGGGGCAGACCTTCATCAGAGAACATCGCATGAGCTCGAACTTGAAGGCCTGACAAACAAAAGCCATCTTTCTTGCTACCTATATCTGGGACATCCTGAAATATTGTTATACATAAGTATAAGTAGGAAATGTGTTGACAAGCAATAAAGCAATCTTCTTTGTTTCCTTTATTTATCATTGTGAAATTTTATAATGTTTTAGGCTACAATTCTTTAGTTTTTCATGTGTTTTGGTTTATCTCTTGGAAGCATAAATAATATAAAGTACTGTATATTCTCATGATTAAGATAAGGCTTAAAATAGCAAATCACAATAAAAAAAAAAATAAGAGATTGTCTACATGCAACACATTAAAAAAAATTTTAAATCATGTTTGTCTTGTGTGCGGATCATCTGTAACATGCAAATTTACTATTGAAATGAAGCGATGAATGAACGGTTAGTATGAATGAATACAATTTTAAATGTGGGGAAATATAGATTTTTATGAGCATTTAAAAGCCTATTCAATGGAATTACTTGGAAGAATAGCCCTACATCTGTAAATACAGTCAAGAATATAAAAAGTAGGAATACCAAAGATGAAACAAGAGGATCTCCTTATATGCCCAACATACAACAATATTTTATAGGATATATTAAGTAACTCAATTGCTTACATTACTTCAACTAATCATTTCACTACTATTATCATACTTTGCTAGAATATATAAACAAATAGTTTTTACTATATGGTAAGAATGCATTTGACCAAGGGTCGATTCATGCCATACCTTTTTGTGGTTAGAAATATGCAGTGAGATAGGGGAAAGGAGGACTTGTAGTCTAGTCTGGAAGTAAGCTTTGTGTACCTCAACCACCAGTCTGTCCATATTCAATACCAAACATTCATTTGTCTGATTACATAAATGCTGAAAATATGAACAGAATACAGTTTAATTATCTCACAGAAACAGATACATATACAATAGAATCCCTTCTTTGTGACACCACTATTCATGGGACACCCCTATTGTGGGGACACTTTTTCGGCCAGGAAATGAGGAAAAGTATATCTTTTAATACTACGACCAACAAATATTCAAGGACACCCATAAGAGGACATTTTTTTTTGGTCCCAAAGGTGTCCCTGCTTAATTGGGGTTCTACTGTAATTATGCTGATGTTAAAGTTTTGGCTAGGCTTAAAAAGTTTCATGCATATATGTTCAGATCGAAATATATTTCATGGAGTAACAATGATCATCTTAATGACTGGAGTAAATATAAACATTCTGAGGTTTTTATCATGTGACTGGACTATGTGATATAGGTTATTTACATCTTAAAGTGCTTTTTGATTAGAAATGTAATACCGGAAAAGTAAGAAGCAACAGATAATTAAAAACTTATTTATAATCTAATTCTATAAAAAATGTAATGAGTCAGAATCAAATATAGTATATTCTCACTTTATTAAAACTTATTTACAATTAAAATCAATGCAAACAGGAACAATTTGTAAATCAATTACAACTTTGTTTGCAATCAGAATCTGTGGAATCTATTTATATATACACTGTTAGAGATATTGTATCCTTTGTGTTTTATATATGAATCAGTTAACTTGACTATGAAATATAGAATAAACAAGTTGTAATTTGATTACAAACACTTTTTTGAGTAATTTTGTAGGTGAAGAATCTTTTCAAGCAGTTAATTAACGTTTACTTGTAGAAGTCAACATCCACATAATTTATTCATGCTGAACTATTTACCTGTATATACTCCAAATGAACTCATGAATGTAGTGATTTGTTTTAATTGGACTGAAAAACAAAAGTGTGTCTCTTACCGTTGGTAAGTATGCTTGGAGTGTGTGTACAGTAAGGGCAAATGTCACCTGCAGAGGGCGCAAACTAAGAGGGTTTAGAATTCGTTCTTCTGGTTTATCTAGTGGCTTCTGGATTGGCTGTGTCTCTAGTGGGCGCCCTAGGTCCATGTAATCAATATCTACACCAAGATAATTCTCCTGAAAATAAATCATAATTATATTATTGGAAAGTTATATATTAGTCAGTGAAAGAAGAATAACATATTTTAGAAACTAGAAACTGCTGGATAAAGCTTGCTTCTCATATAGTCTTTGTTTGCTTGTTTAAAATCTAAGTGTAAGCTTTAAAACAGTAACAGGTTTTTCTCTAATTAATGAGCTCTACAATTAAAAACCACCTCCAATTAAAGACCACTTTTCTGTGGTCCATATCCTTATTATTCTAATTAGAGACCAAACCTGCTAAACACCATGGAAACCCAAGTCCCAAAAGTGGTCTCTAAAATTTGAGGGAAACCTGTACTGTAGGGAAAAAATGGCTGCTTCAGGATCTGTTTATTTTCAACAGTGCAGTCCAAAAAATTACCATCAGCATCAGAACAGAGGAGTTACCTTAAGCGCTAAGACTGCTTTGAGAATGGCTCCATATGCTACAAGAACAGCTGGTCCAATATCAAGCTCAAGGCTCATGTTGTCCGGAGGTAAATTTCCAGGCTCGACAACCTCCCGCCAGCGGGGTTGTCGCTTACTAGCTGAGTGCAATTTGTTGCCTATCTTTGTTACTGTTATTGACGGCTTCCCATTCTTGCAGTCAGAAATTTTCAGAAGTGGGACAAAATCATTTGGTGGTACTGGGTGGTAGGAATAGGTGATACTTAAGCCCAAATAAGGTACAGAAGCGCACTCAATCCAACCAGGTCTAAACATAAAACATGGAAACATCATCACGAAATTTCAAAATTCATTTATTGGTCATATACAGTAGTGAATACAATACATGAAATTTGTTTTCCTGGTACACTGAATACAAATATTAATAATATAAAGATAAAGAGCACAGATTTTATTCTTATTATTATTATTATTATATTATTATTATTATTATTATTATTATTATTATTATATTATTATTATTATTATTATTATTATTATTATATTATTATTATTATTATATT